GAACTTTAAAGTGGTACTGTTGTATTGGAGCTGATTTGCTGGGGAACTTTAAAGTGGTACTGTTGTATTGGAGCTGATTTGCTGGAGAACTTTAAAGTGGTACTGTTGTATTGGAGCTGATTTGCTGGAGAACTTTAAAGTGGTACTGTTGTATTGGAGCTGATTTGCTGGAGAACTTTAAAGTGGTACTGTTGTATTGGAGCTGATTTGCTGGAGAACTTTAAAGTGGTACTGTTGTATTGGAGCTGATTTGCTGGAGAACTTTAAAGTGGTACTGTTGTATTGGAGCTGATTTGCTGGAGAACTTTAAAGTGGTACTGTTGGAATTATAGGGAACAAACAGTATTGTGTCAAACATAAAAGAGAGGTTTTGAAAAAGCAGATCAAATTTACAGAGAAATAAATTCATGAGTAAAGATGAAAATATAATGGGCAATACTGTTTACTGATTAGAGACTTATTTCTCCTGTGTGATTAAACTTTATGTTTCTTTCCCGACAGGAGATTAACATATGAAGATCTGGACAAAATCTCACCAATGAAAGGACGAGAAACTCCTTTTACGATTCAAATGTCTATTGCACAGGTACTGTCCCTTGCTATTGTTAAATGTTTAATACGTTTCCGATTGTGTAAGATAGAGCTGTTCAGGTTAAGAAAGGGGTGTATGAATTTCTTTCTTACACCCCAGTTTAAGTGACATAACGTCACAATGGCTCAATAATAATGTGACGTCACGAATATGGAAAACTTTGATGCTGTAATGCAGTAGAGGCGACGTGATGAAATCAAAAGTCTTTCGATATATTTATTATTCATGTTAGAAATGATAAAGATGAAAATTATTTTTCTGCACAAACTCTGTTCGCAAATATAGCGTATGCTAAGTCTCGCTGATAGATTTGTTTTCGTCAAAAAAACTCAGAGGAAAAGTTGATATTTTCAAAATGGTACCCAGTCAAAACCCATTTTCATGGTTTCTGAGCTTATTCTGGTAGTTGGAATGAGAGAAAAATATTCTTTCATGCCCAGGGGTGTAGGATAGGGAATTCCACCCAAGGGGCTTTGCCAAATTTGAAAATACTGTGGGTGGAATTTCCCTATCCTTATAATATAGATTGTTTACTGGGCTTTTTGCAGTTCTTCTTCTGATTGGTATGCTGAAGGATTTTTCTGATAAAAAATATATGTTGGTATTGTTTTTAAGATCAATGTGTATTTGTTAAAAATAAGTTTCTAAATGTTTTGCTTAAGAATTTAAAATTGTACTAAAATTAAAATTCATGTTCCAAGTGAATTAAATGTAGAACCTCTTTTTCTCTCCCAGGAAAAAATCAATTTAGAGCAAGGGAAGGAACGGTCAGGCTGGCTGAGTGTATTGGAGAGTGTGTACAGATTTGGCCTGGGATCTGTAGCTGGAGGTAGGTCTAGTCAGTGTACTGCCAGAGAGTGTGGGCAGATTTGGCCTGTGATCTGTAGCTGGAGGGAGGTCTAGTCAGTGTACTACCAGAGAGTGGGGACAGATTTGGCCTGGGATCTGGAGCGGGAGGTAGGGCTAGTCAGGGGACGACCAGAGAGGGGGGACAGATTTGGCCTGGGATCTGTAGCTGGAGGTAGGTCTAGTCAGTGTACTACCAGAGAGTGTGGAAGAACTGCCACGGTAGCTACTCAGCTGTAGCTAGATTGGATCAACATACATATTTTATTGAAAAGAAAAAGAAAAAAAGCTTTGATGAAGCACTGTAAACAGCTTGTATTTCTACTTGTTATTTTAAGTTCAAATTCACACCATCCTGTCAGTCTGACATATTGCTTGATTAGAAATGTTGCATTTCAGGATCAAAGATTTCACTAAATATATAGAGCATGTCGCACACTAGTGTGTAGTATTGTTGTTCTATAGAACTAATTTTCCTACCGAAGATTGCGTGCCTTTTATTTCTTAAGCCACAAGCAAATTTATAAATTCTGTAAAGGGAAGAAAGTATAAGGAGTGTCCTAAAGTTACGTATGATTTTGTTTACAGCCACTGGAGCCACAGCAGTCTACCCGATAGATTTGGTGAAGACGCGGATACAGAACCAGCGTACTGGCTCAATGGTCGGAGAGCTCATGTACAAGAACAGCTTTGACTGTTTTAAGAAAGTCCTACGACATGAGGGTGTCCTGGGACTGTACCGAGGTTTGGGACCCCAGCTGGTTGGTGTCTGTCCAGAGAAAGCTATTAAACTAACGGTTAGTACTCCATACTACAAAACACATTACAAAGATTAAGGAAGTGTAATAATACATAATTGCGATAAAGTTTTTTGTGTAATGAAAAGTTTTCAGGATAATACAACCATAGTTTAAAAATAAATAGTTTTGTCATACCTGTATTTTGTTAATTTTGTTGTGGATCATTTGTAAAAGTTTAACTAAAATAAAATGGTCCACAGATATCTGAATATTTTTACCAGACACTTTTTTTGTGACATAAAAATTAACAAAATAGAAATGCTTTACATAGTGTCTTGTCAAAATTATTGGCAAAGACACTTGTTTTGTTTGGGAATAAAGAATTATTGGCAAAGACACTTGTTTTGTTTGGGAATAAAGAATTCTTTGCAAAGACACTTGTTTTGTTTGGCAATAAAGAATTCTTTGCAAAGACACTTGTTTGTTTTGGATTTAACATCCTTGGAACTGGTAAGGTTATATGCCAGCTGGCAGAGATGCTTATTTTGTCTTTTTCATTTTTGTTTACAGATGAATGACTTTATGCGAGACAATCTAATGGATAAAGATGGCAGCCTTCCTCTCTGGGCTGAATGTGTTGCAGGAGGAACGGTAAGACCAGTTTAATTTATCATGACAGCCCCCTGCTAGTGACGAATGTGTTAGATGGAGAGGCAGCCGACTTTTATATAGCAACATATAAAACGAGACTTTTACCGTGATATTTTCTGTATAAGTAGGTCCCTGTGAATTATAGTTTGACCTTTAACCCCAACATTTCAAATAGTTTGTCTGGGGCATGTCCTCTATACGACATGTCCCTGGGGCATGTCCTCTATACGAGATGTCCCTGGGGCATGTCCTGTATACCACATGTCCCTGGTGCATGTCCTCTATACCACATGTCCCTGGGGCATGTCCTCTATGCTACATGTCCCTGGGGCATGTCCTCTATACAACATGTCCCTGGAGCATGTCCTGTATACCACATGTCCCTGGGGCATGACCTCTATACCACATGTCCCTGGGGCATGTCCTGTATACCACATTTCCCTGGGGCATGTCCTCTATACTACATGTCCATGGGGCATGTCCTCTATACGACATGTCCCTGGAGCATGTCCTCTATACCACACGTCCCTGGGGCATGTCCTCTATACTACATGTCCCTGGTCCCTGGAGCATGTACTCTATACTACATGTCCCTGGGGCATGTCCTCTATAAGACATGTCCCTGGAGCATGTCCTCTATACCACACGTCCCTGGGGCATGTCCTCTATACTACATGTCCCTCGGGCATGTCCTGTATACCACATGTCCCTGGGGCATGTCCTCTATACTACATTTCCCTGGGGCATGTCCTCTATACCACATGTCCCTGGGGCATGACCTCTATACCACATGTCCCTGGGGCATGTCCTCTATACAACATGTCCCTGGAGCATGTCCTGTATACCACATGTCCCTGGGGCATGACCTCTATACCACATGTCCCTGGGGCATGTCCTCTATACAACATGTCCCTGGAGCATGTCCTGTATACCACATGTCCCTGGGGCATGTCCTCTATGCTACATGTCCCTGGGGCATGTCCTCTATACAACATGTCCCTGGAGCATGTCCTGTATACCACATGTCCCTGGGGCATGACCTCTATACCACATGTCCCTGGGGCATGTCCTGTATACCACATGTCCCTGGGGCATGTCCTCTATACCACATGTTCCTGGGGCATGTCCTCTATACCACATGTCCCTGGGGCATGACCTCTATACCACATGTCCCTGGGGCATGTCCTCTATGCTACATGTCCCTGGGGCATGTCCTCTATACTACATGTCCCTGGGGCATGTCCTCTATACTACATGTCCCTGATAGGAAAATAAACAAAATAAAACCAAACCTCTGTACTATTTCAGTGGTATATCTTTTACATTATTTCACCTGGAGTAACCAGATTTGGTATGTAAGTATGTCTTGGCTTGCAGGATTTAGAGTACAAGAAGTATGTCACTGTGACCTATATCCTGGGATAGGTGTACAGCTTGGTAAAGCAATCATTACCATTGGCGGACTGGATTGCCTTGTTTCAAACGAATCTTGAGCTAAGTTATATGGTAATTTCATCAAACATATTTTCATCTTCGTTATAATAATAGAAGTATTAGTTAATTAATTAGTGTTAATTCAATTTTCTGTTGTAATTATTTTTTCTTTAGGCTGGTGCGTCACAAGTTATGTTTACCAATCCACTAGAAATCGTAAAGATCCGACTGCAGGTAGCGGGAGAAATCGTTGGCAAGACCCGTGTCAGTGCCTTTAGTGTTATTAAGGACCTTGGATTCTTCGGGCTGTACAAGGTTTGTATGCTATATATACATATGTAAATGAGCCTACAGGATTCCTCGGACTGTACAAGGTTTGTATGCTATATATACATATGTAAATGAGCCTATAGGATTCCTCGGGCTGTACAAGGTTTGTGTACTATATATACATATGTAATTGAGCCTACAGGATTCCTCGGGCTGTACAAGGTTTGTATGCTATATATACATATGTAAATGAGCCTACAGGAATCCTCGGGCTGTACAAGGTTTGTATATGATATATACATATGTAAATGAGCCTATAGGATTCCTCAAGGTTATCAGGTGGACTGTACAAGGTTTGTATATGATATATACATATGTAAATGAGTCTACAGGATCTGGATACTTCTGTACACCTGGTCGTTTGATTGTTTATATTAAACTGACCCTGTTATAACACATTGGGGTGATATGTAAATGAGCCTACATGATCTGGATACTTCTGTACACCTGGTCGTTTGATTTTTTATATTATACTAACCCTGTAATAACACATAGGGGTGATATGTAAATGAGCCTACATGATCTGGATACTTCTGTACACCTGGCTGTTTGATTGTTTATATTAAACTAACCCTGTAATAACACATTGGGGTGATATGTAAATGAGCCTACAGGATCTGGATACTTCTGTACACCTGGTCGTTTGATTGTTTATATTAAACTGACCCTGTAATAACACATTGGGGTGATATGTAAATGAGACTACATGATCTGGATACTTCTGTACACCTGGTCGTTTGATTGTTTATATTATACTAACCCTGTAATAACACATAGGGGTGATATGTAAATGAGCCTACATGATCTGGATACTTCTGTCCACCTGGTCGTTTGATTGTTTATATTATACTGACCCTGTAATAACACATTGGGGTGATATGTAAATGAGCCTACATGATTTGGATACTTCTGTACACCTGGCTGTTTGATTGTTTATATTAAACTAACCCTGTAATAACACATTGGGGTGATATGTAAATGAGCCTAAAGGATCTGGATACTTCTGTACACCTGGCTGCTTGATTGTTTATATTAAACTAACCCTGTAATAATACATTGGGGTGATATGTAAATAAGCCTACATGATCTGGATACTTCTGTACACCTGGACATTTGATTGTTTCTAATGTACTCGCCCTGTTATCACATTGGGGTGGTAGGGCACTGTATGTACCAGAACTTTCGTCCATCACCAAAATAATACATATTCGCCCAGTGTTAATTTAGCCCTCCACATTTAATTACTTCGTCTAATATACTTCTAATGTCCACGTAGTGAAAAATTATCATTACCGGGACATTATGGCAGACTTAGTCATAAATAATCAAAACCGGGACATTACGGCACACGAACGTAGAGATAAATTATCATTACCTCGACATTACGGCACACGAACGTAGAGATAAATCATCAATACCCGGACATTACGGCAGACAAACGTAGAGATAAATTATCATTACCGGGACATTAGGGCAGACGAACGTAGAGATAAATTATCATTACCCGGACATTACGGCAGACGAACGTAGATAAATTATCATTACTGGGACATTACGGCAGACGAACGTAGAGATAAATTATCATTACCGGGACATTAAGGCAGACGAACGTAGAGATAAATTATCATTACCTGGACATTATGGCAGACGAACGTAGAGATAAATTATCATTACCTGGACATTACGGCAGACTTAGTCATAAATAATCATTACCCGGACATTATGGCAGACTTAGTCATAAATTATCAATACTGAGACACTACGGCAGACGAACGTAGAGATAAATTATCATTACCGGGACATTACAGCAGACGAACGTAGAGATAAATTATCATTACTGGGACACTACGGTAGACGAACGTAGAGATAAATTATCATTACTGGGACATTACGGCAGACGAACGTAGAGATAAATTATCATTACCGGGACATTACGGCAGACGAACGTAGAGATAAATTATCATTACTGGGACATTACAGCAGACGAACGTAGAGATAAATTATCATTACCGGGACATTACGGCAGACGAACGTAGAGATAAATAATCATTACCGGGACATTACGGCAGACGAACGTAGAGATAAATTATCATTACTGGGACATTACAGCAGACGAACGTAGAGATAAATTATCATTACCGGGACATTACGGCAGACGAACGTAGAGATAAATAATCATTACCGGGACATTACGGCAGACGAACGTAGAGATAAATTATCATTACTGGGACATTACAGCAGACGAACGTAGAGATAAATTATCATTACCGGGACATTACGGCAGACGAACGTAGAGATAAATAATCATTACCGGGACATTACGGCAGACGAACGTAGAGATAAATTATCATTACTGGGACATTACAGCAGACGAACGTAGAGATAAATTATCATTACCGGGACATTACGGCAGACGAACGTAGAGATAAATAATCATTACCAGGACATTACGGCAGACGAATGTAGAGATAAATTATCATTACCTGGACATTATGGCATACGAACGTAGAGATAAATTATCATTACCGGGACATTACGGCAGACGACATAGAGATAAATAATCATTACCGGGACATTACGGCAGACGAACGTAGAGATAAATTATCATTGCTGGGACATTACGGCACACGAACGTAGAGATAAATAATCATTACCGGGACATTACGGCAGACGAACGTACAGATAATTTATCATAATGCGACATTACTGCAGACGAACGTAGAGATAAATTATCATTAACGGGACATTACGGCAGACGAACGTAGAGATAAATTATCATTACCCGGACATTACGGCACATGAAAAAATTAAATTACAGTCAAAATTCCCTGTATACAGCATGTATAACCATGTTGAAGTTTAATTAATGTGAAGATATGAATGCTCCAATTATAATGTCGACAAAGTATAGAATGCAATGTGTTTTTTTCTGTGTAAAGACTGACATCCAGTCAATTATTCATTGTTGTTGCCAGATGTTGTTTTCACCGTTTTCAGTGGAAATACTAGGAAATTGAGCTCTTGACACTGTGTAACTGAGTTGCCCTTGAATATGGCAGATCAAAGGCTTATTGCAGCAAAGACTTCTTGCTTCACAGTTCTAGCTTGACACTGTACTGTTTTGTCTTCAGGGTTCCAGAGCCTGCTTTCTAAGAGATATACCGTTCTCAGCAATCTATTTTCCCGCCTATGCACATTTAAAGAAAGCGTTTGCTGATGAGAATGGTTACAACTCACCCGGTACTCTGCTGATGGCAGCGACTTGTGCAGGTCTGTGGACACTTTTCTCTAAAAGATCACTAAATAGCAGAGTTGTGGAAAAGTTTGGGAACAAGGAATGAATTTTCTCCTTTTAATTAATTCCCTGATCCTCACCCCAAATACAGCCATTATAAGGGGTCAAAGTTTACAGTATGTTATAAAGGAGAAATGCGATAAAGTTCTATACTAAAAGTACGGAATAGGTATGACTAGATTATGAAAAGAAGATTTTTTTTTTTTAAGCAAGATTATGGATAAGGCAGTTTTCAAAATTGCGCTAAAGTCTAATAGTAAGGGATAAGAAAAATTTCATATCAAGTTCCTTTGATCTTTGAAATAGAGTGCTTAAATGCAGGTTTATGGAAAATGTCTCTGCCAAAGTTTCATTTCAGGAAATCTTACTTTGTACATCATTTCAAATGGATGGGGTGCAGTGTATACACAAGGTGCTTGTTTTGAGTTAACTTTAGTCTATATGTGTTTGACCAGGTATGCCTGCGGCTGCACTCCCAACACCTGCCGATGTGATAAAGACACGACTGCAGGTTCAGGCCCGTAAAGGTCAGACAGTCTACACTGGCCTCGTAGACTGTGCCAGGAAGATCTATGCTGAAGAGGGATTCGCTGCCTTCTGGAAAGGAGCACCAGGTATAAATATCAGGCTTTTTCATCCCACCATCATCAGATGGTGGGCTATTTAAATCACCCTGCGTCCGTGGTCCGCCCTTAAATAATTATTGTAAGCTATATTTCTCAGAAAGCACTAGAGGGATCTTTCCGAAATTTCACATGAAGGTTCCCCATTATCCCTAGTTCCGCATTTTGATTTTAGGGATGATCGGAATACAAAGATGGTCAGCAGGTAGTCGTATTGATTATTGCTCAAAAAGTATTGAAGGGAATTTTTCTCAAATTTCACATACGTGTTCATCTTGTTTCTTAGTTATGCATATTAAATTTTTGGACTGATCTGAAAACCAAGATGCGGACAGGCGGTCATCTTGTTACAGTTAGTTTGTTATCGCTATTTCTCAGAATGTTCTGGAGGAATGTTTCTCAAATTTGATACGTAGGTTCCCCTTGATCCTTAGTTGTGCACTTTCGAGGGTGATCAAAAGACTGATTAAGATGGTGGACAGGCAAACTGAACAAGCAGATAAGATAAAAGAAGAGAAAAGATCAAACTGACATGGAACTAATGAAGATGGTACGATGTTGGGCACCAAGATCCCTCTGGGATCTCTGGTACCTTCAGCTCGGATCATTTTTTTCGTAAATAGATAAATTGCGGAGTAATGTTGTCCTGTTTATGGTATGAGTTCCGATTTAAAAACTATCAATTGTCGATTGTCATGACTGATTATGGAATATCTAGATTTATATAATAGTGAAGTGAATTCCTTGGTATACTTCTTCAATAACATTCCTTGACGTTTTATGAAAAATGTTAATCAAACCGATTAAAAAACAAAGAATGAGATACTACCGTGTATACGATATCACTGTTATCAGTATGAAAGAATGACTTAAGTGAAACAAATGTGGGAAGAAGTAGATAGATATGTACTATAAATAACATTTAACATGATAACGGCAGCATGATTTGTAATTGAAAATACTAGAAGTCTTATGTTGCTGAAACAAGATCAATGGCCAAATCATATTTTGCTTTGATATGTGAACTTAGTAGTTTTAGCCACAAACCAATCTTTTGGATATTTCATGATACGTACTGTAAAAATATGTAATTGGGGAATTATGATGTAAGATTCCTATGTTGATGTATGTTCTTGTTTGTTACAGCTCGTGTATTAAGATCCTCCCCCCAGTTTGGTGTGACGCTGTTAACCTATGAATTGTTACAAAGGTTGTTTTACGTGGACTTCGGTGGCAGGTGGGTATTTCTGGTTGTCTTCAGCTCAGCACAGAATTATGTCATTGATAATAACACTTTATTTCAGGTTCCACCTCTACTTCACATTGAAAAATCCTTAAGTATCTTGAGTAAAGAATTTAAAGTGTTGAAATATACAGTTAAAGAGGGTGAGGATCTTGATATTTTCAGCAATCTTACAAGGTTTTTAAGGTCACCTGAGACAAAGTCTCAAGTGACCTATTGCGATCGCCTTTTCTCCGTCGTTGTCCGTCGTCGTCCGTCGTCCGTCCGTAAACAATTTACATTTTCGACTTCTTCTCCAAAACCCCTGAACCAATTTCAATGAAATTTTGCAGGGAACTTCCATGGACAACGGTCAACAAAAATAGTTGCCGTTTTAGTCCTAAGCCCCCCGGGGCCTGAGGGGTGGGGCCAAAAAGGGTCAAATTGACTAAAATTTCAAAAACCTTCTTCTCAAGACCCAGATATGGTCGAATCAAATACTCTTCATAGATGGAAGGGTCTTAAGGTTTATGACCCTAGGGTCTCACGTTTACCCCCTGGGGAAGGAGGGGGGGGGGGGGCAAAATTTATTTTGGTTTATAATGGCAAATGATATTTTGAATATTACATGTTAATAACATGATTGGAATTATAACCTTGAATTGACAGTTTGATACTTTGAAAATTTCGAGCCAGCGAGTGGTGTTTCACCTCCTGATACAGCTACTGACATACAGTGTGCTTGCCTAAGACGTCAGGCTAGTGGTGTTTCCCCTCCTGATACTGCTACTGACATAGAGTGTGCTTGCCTCAGACGTCAGGCTAGAGGTGTTTCACCTCCTGATACTGCTGCTGACATACAGTGTGCTTGCCTCGGACGTCAGGCTAGTGGTGTTTCACATCCTGATACTGCTACAGACATACAGTGTGCTTGCCTCAGACGTCAGGATAGTGGTGTTTCACCTCCTGATAATGCTACTGACATACGGTGTGCTTGCCTCAGACGTCAGGCTAGAGGTGTTTCACCTCCTGATACTGCTACTGACATAGAGTGTGCTTGCCTCAGACGTCAGGCTAGAGGTGTTTCACCTCCTGATACTGCTACTGACATCCAGTGTGCTTGCCTCAGACGTCAGGCTAGAGGTGTTTCACCTCCTGATACTGCTGCTGACATACAGTGTGCTTGCCTCAGACGTCAGGATAGTGGTGTTTCACCTCCTGATAATGCTACTGACATACGGTGTGCTTGCCTCAGACGTCAGGATAGTGGTGTTTCACCTCCTGATACTGATACTGACATACAGCGTGCTAGCCTCAGACGTCAGGCTAGTGGTGTGTCACCTCCTGATACTGCTACTGACATAGAGTGTGCTTGCCTCAGACGTCAGGCTAGTGGTGTGTCACCTCCTGATACTGCTACTGACATACAGTGTGGTTGCCTCAGACGTCAGGCTAGTGGTGTTCCACCTCCTGATACTGATACTGACATACAGTGTGCTTGCCTCGGACGTCAGGCTAGTGGTGTTTCACCTCCTGATACAGCTACTGACATACAGTGTGCTTGGCTCAGACGTCAGGCTAGTGGTGTTTCACATCCTGATACTGCTACAGACATACAGTGTGCTTGCCTCAGACGTCAGGCTAGAGGTGTTTCACCTCCTGATACTGCTACTGACATCCAGTGTGCTTGCCTCAGACGTCAGGATAGTGGTGTTTCACCTCCTGATAATGCTACTGACATACGGTGTGCTTGCCTCAGACGTCAGGCTAGAGGTGTTTCACCTCCTGATACTGCTGCTGACATACAGTGTGCTTGCCTCAGCCGTCAGGCTAGTGGTGTTTCACCCCCTGATACTGCTACTGACATACAATGTGCTTGCCTCAGACGTAAGGCTAGTGGTGTTTCACCTCCTGATACTGATACTGACATACAGTGTGCTAGCCTCAGACGTCAGGCTAGTGGTGTTTCACCTCCTGATACTGCTACTGACATACAGTGTGCTTGCCTCAGACGTCAGGCTAGTGGTGTTTCACCTCCTGATACTGCTGTCAAAATATTCTGTAAACAGTCAGTTTGTATTTCCACATGTTACTTTCATAAATAGGATGTTTTATGTACTGAGTAACTAAAACCTTATGTCTGTCATAACTTGCCTGTTTGTAATGATCAGATCATTGCTATCTAACACTACCTGTTATTTCGTCGGGGAATATATTTACTTACCAGTTATGGAACTCGCGGCTATAAAACTAAAGAAAAAAATATAAGATGCACACGATCACGCCATTTGAGAAAGAAATTGGTATGGCACCCTTAAAAATAAGAATATTGATGTGTAATGGATCAAGTTATGCTGGATATTGAAATCCTTGGGCCAGTTCCAGATCATACAAATCTGTTCTCTGTGTCTGTATTGAAAAGATTTAGTATGAATGTAGTTTTCTGTCATCTGTCAGTAGTAGTATTTCATTAGAAGTGCAAAGGATGAACTCCCTTGGGAGAGCTCTTCTGTCATCTGTCAGTAGTAGTATTTTATCAGAAGTACAAAGGATGAACTCCCTTGGGAGAGCTCTTCTGTCATCTGTCAGTAGTAGTATTTCGTTAGAAATACAAAGGATGAACTCCCTTGGGAGAGATCTTCTGTCCAAAATAACAATCCCATCCTACGATAGAGTGTCCATTTCCAGTCATGAAAAGTGTGATGTGATGTTCAATAGATCCAAGTGTTAATAATTAGGGGATACGGGTGCCTTATAGTAATCACTCTGTCTGTCTGTCTGTCTGTCTGTCTGTCTGTCTGTCTGTCTGTCTGTCTGTCTGTCTGTCTGTCTGTCTGTCTGTCTGTC